GTTCATCTTCGTCATTGATCTTCTCCTCTTCATCTCCTTCCTGGTCTTCATTACTTTCACCCCCATCATTCATATCAACTTCAGTTAAACCATATTCTCCTGCAGCATCCCGTACACCAGATACTACAAACAAAAAAGCAAATCAAAGATTAATGTACTGAGCCCATAATAACGAGAATAAACCAGTTTTCAAGCTAGTTTTTTTCAAAGTTGTGAGAAAAAAAAATCATATGCATGGATTAGAATATGTTTATTGAATACCATCCAATAAAATAGGTATGATTTTCACTTCAAAGTTCTGACGCTTTGGACATAAGTCTTTGCTTTTGTAAAGAAGGACCGACGTCTGATACGAGTGTGAAATACGTTTTCTTATTTCACAGTGTTCATTTTTTACTTTTCACATCAAAAAGTGCAAATTGATTTTTTACCTTGAAAATCATTGCTGGGCTTGACAAGATTTTTCGTCTTCCAGCCGCTGTTGCTTGCCATGCTTCTTGCTTCACTTTGTACCTCATCAATAGTCAGCATGATTGACAGACAGCAAGACAGAGAACAACGAGGATTCTTGATGAGATAATATATACTTTGACCAACTGCCACCGAATATTTTACTGCAAATGAAACATTTTACAAAGAGATCGTGGTCATCAAAAAGTGTATAACGAACACAAGCATGCGTGTCCATTACTTACCGACAACAAGAGCAGTAACCATGACATTAGCAGTCACCAAGAGTACTGTGATGATCAAGGAATCCATGATCTTAGCATCAGCATCCAGCAAGGCACCTTGGTCTATCTTGAGCATCATCCCAATACACGTGTTAGCAAATGTTACCAGAAGCGACGTTAACTGAAGAGCATGCTCGAACTTGTCAGGAATCGGCATAAAGTGAGCGTGAAGGATGGCATAGCAGCCTGTAAATGCAAAAAAGCGAATACAATAATTTGGGAATTTATAGTTCTGGTCACTAGTAAATTTTGTTATGTTTACCTGAAAGCATTGAAGCAACTCCAAGAGAGTTTCGTCCTTCTGCGCCAATCAAAGCCAAAGAAGACGTCAGCAACAGCTTTCTGGTCATCTCAATAGTTTCCCAGAACCAACAATTATCTGCGTAGTTTTCAAATATGAAACTCATTCCTGCGACAATTGGGACAGTAGCTACAACAGATCTTCCAAGTCGCCTGCCTTTCTTTTCGCTTGTGGACCCCTTTTGGTTACTAAAGACTTTCTTTGTCTCAGATATTGCACGGACAGCTTTTGATAGAGAAAGTGGTTGACGTCTTGGCCTCTTCTCATCTCTGGACATTTTGTTCTCATCTGGATAATTTCCAACTGGTTGTAACTGGTCATGTTTTACTTCGCCACCCATGAAGCGGATATGTCTTGAGTTGGGTGTCTTTTTTGGTGACGCAGTTTCGTTGGCAACAGCAATCGTGTCTTGTTCTTCAGATATCACCTCGAGATGTTCGTCTCCTTTCTTGATTACATGATTTTCTTTTTTTGAAATATTTGTGTTCTGACACATCTTACTATCTGTTTTGATCACTTGTTTTCTTTCATCAACGGATCTAGTACGCTTTTCCGACTCTTTTGTGTTACTTCTCAACTCTTCATCACTCAAAGCAACATTTGCAGCTTCTTGCAAAGTCTTCTTGTGGTAATACTTCCACAGAACTGCTACAGTTAGTAATGGAACAGCAAAAGGGTAGATCAATGCAGCATAAGCCAGGATCACATACTGGTTGTATTTGTCAGTAAAGCAAGTTATGGAGTAGTCAGCCTTTAAGTAGGAGGAACATTGTTGTTCACTGCTGTCTTGGCAGATTTTGTGGCAAGATGCAGGAAGCATTTGGAATATCTTTGAACATGTCTGTGGGTAAGTCACGAAAATGAACAGGAAAACATTTCGGTAGCAAGCCTCTTTAGTAGCGTCTAGGTCAGTTTGAATGGACGATTTTCCAGCCCTCTTGCTAAGATAAACACGCTTTAGGTGGTAATAGGCCAAAGCTACAAGAATGACACCAGCAGTCATGGAACACGTGATAACAAGATCTGCGTACGCATCCATCTTAAGACGAGAATTGAAGCAATGTAGAGGTGCAATTTGCAGGATGTTCAGCTGAACGAATTTGGCGTACTCACTCATCTTGGTCAAGGCACTTGGCCACTGAACGTACGAGAATGCGTCGAGTGTACCAGAAGAGATTTGATAGAAGGACACGATGATCTTGAGACGAGCAAGGATGATGTCGGTAAGGGAGCGCTTAGCTCCTGCTTTGCGCTGCTTTCCTTTGAAGACCACGTAAATGATTATCACAACAACCAATAAGATTGCACAAATCTATAAAATAGCAATCGAATAAAAGTAATGTATGTTTAGCTGTCAATAGCAATTTTATTTAGAAAACAATTTTTTTTATACCTGAAAAATAAGCCAGTGTACAGCTGGACACTTGAAACACGTTGCAATGAGCTGGTAATGTTTCTTGTCACATACAGCACACAAGGGACCTGTGTAACCCTCAGCACATTCAGCGTCCAGTCCTCCAAGGCATGACTCTGATCGTGGACATTGGTAATGTTTGGGGAAAGATCCATTAAACTGAACAAGGTCTCTATCATAGCTGTCGTCGAAGATTTGTAGGTTATTGGTAAAGTTGATGTAGTAATCTTTCTCTGACTTGGAAATCCATTGCCAGTAGTACCCAGCCTCCAGGGTCATCGACTCGTTAAAACACCTGACGCCAGAGTCAGGACAAGGGTAGCACTTGTCAAAGCGATCGAGACGATAAAACTCGTCTTGGCATCCACAGGCTCTGAAGCCTGCAAACCCATCATTTTTTGTTCCTATAAAAGGGTTTTACATGTCACTTGAATAAATTGYTAGAACAAGATTCAAATGTGTAACAAACAAAAGAAAATCTCTCCAAATTAACATTAGTATGAATTGATCAATGAAATGATCTATGGAATGTTGAAAAATGAGTTCCCAAAATGCAAGATTGTTTCCTGGTCCTTTTCTTTCCTTCCATCTTTTTCTTTCGTTCCTCCTCCTGTTCCCTCATCCCTTTCTTGGTTCTTCGCCCGTCCCTTCGTCCCTCCCTCCCTTTTATAAATAAAATAAGAATGTTCGTTGTACCCTCAGGGCATGGTTTACAGTCTTCTTTTCTTCTTCCTGGTGCTGTTCTTACAAACGTCCCGTTGTCGCACATCTGGCATCCATTACCATACGCTCGTTCGCCATAGAATGCAAGTGCGTCTTGGTAAAACCCACCTAAATTTATATGTTATATATCATTAGTCACACTACCATGAAATGGAGTCACACTTCATTCATATTAGCCTCTTACGCAGACGTTCTTAGGGTCTATCGGGCAACGTTGCGTGACAGAAAAGAAATGAGTCTGTTTAGGAGACTACATTCACGTAAACGGCGCATAACAGAATTATATCTTCTGTTTTGACTTATGTTTTCAGTTCTCGACGTTAGCCTCAATATTGTGAAGAATACTCATGCATTTGTTCCATGCAGTGAAGTTTTTTTTACTTTTGCATATATAATTTATTAGAAATACTAGTATTCATAAATATTTTGACAGGGAAATTTGAACAAGACAGCAATCATGAGTCTGCAATCAAGAAACACAGCGGAATCATAACATCTATGACATGTGTCAAAAACATTCCGATCTCTTTTATTTCTCTCTGATTGGTTGGCCTACCTGCTGGACAAGAAATGCAAAGAAACTCTTGTATTGTAGCATTGTAGGTGATGTAACTCCCGGATAAACAAGGTTTACAATATATGTAKCYTSCSTCATTAKTGCATTGGAATCCAGTGCTGCTGTACCCAGCCATCAAATCGCTACTCAGGTCTAACATTTTTATTGTCTCGGCATTTTCGGTTGGATATCTCGAAAGAAAATATACGAAAATTATAAAAACACTATTTAGTAAACAACTATTAAAGCCAGCTATCCATGAATGCTCGTTTACATTTCCTCTATATGAGTTTTTGCTTACCACTCTTTTTCGAAAATGTTATTAAGTAAAACGGTTTGTCTCTATSTTATCTAACTTGCCGATATACCGGCATCTTAAAATATCGTAGTTCACATTACCAGGTTTAACCAAGGGCGGATCCAGGGGGCGGAGGTAAAGGGGGGCTGATACCCCCCTTCAGCAGAAAAACAAAACAAAACAAAACTGAAGGATATCTGCTTTTTTTAAATTGTTTTCCGTCTTGTTGACGGAAGAAACTCAATCAGCCCCCTCCCCTCAACTCAATTAGCCCCCCCCCCCCCCAACCCTAAAATTTCGGCTGGATCCACCCTTGGGTTTAACGTCAACGAAAGAAATATCATATAAGTAATTGCAGTAAAATTTCAAAACTGACTGATCGGACGCCAATATGACAAAGACTTCAAGACGTTTTGTCATTCGGAATAAACTAATACAGCCGACTGCATAGAAAACTCATTATTTCTTACATTTGTATTGCTGTTCTAATTCTGTACACGAATGGACTAAACCATTTCACGTTAAGGTTTTTGATCTTGGTTTGCAATAGGTACCTGTAAAAGATACATCATTTTCAGTGTATAGAAGGTTCTGAAGGGGTGGTCCTAATCCCATTTTCCCGCCCCCATTTTGAACAAATCCCGTAGTACCAGCGTATGTTTCCCCCTTAAAATCGCACGATATCAATTTTCAGTACCAATTAGCCCTTCGGCCAACGGTGCGAAGAAAGGGCAGTTTTGATAGACTCTTATTTCTCAATTGACACGGTTTTCTTTGTTATTCACAAGGCTTTATTTTTGTTATAACCCTCATTATAAATGCGAGGTCAATATATTGTTAATTATTAACACGGTTAGTAACTAGATATAGACTTCGCATTTATAATGAGCAACATTTGATAGAAAACCTTCTCAATTGAGAAATAAAATACTTAATTACCTAGAACGGAGGCAGTAAGCCTATACATCCCGAGGGCCGCAGGCCTGAGGGATGTATATGGCTTATTGCCTCCGACCGTTCTAGGTAATTAACTCTTACATATTAAAGACTCTTGGGGAATATGATATTTTACGCATTTTTATTGGCTATTATGAAACAATGGAAAATAAATAAATRCAAGATCTTGATACAAGTTATTTCACAATATATTATTACGAAACATGACTGGGCAAATCTTCGCTGTAAGAATGATCTCATATATCAACTTTTTTATGCTTCAGTATTTCATGCTTAAGTATTGACCATTCCTTAAGTCGCCATTAATCAGTCTTCTATTAATACATACAGATTTTTGAGCATGAAATTCCTAAGGAAAGCTCCAT